GCCCACCCCTGGCCCTCACCCTACACCCCTGGCTGGGAAGGGGGGGGCAGGACGCGCCGCGTCGCAGCTGCTGCCGCCACCACTGTGGCTGTCGCTGTTGGCCAGACCCTGGGCGGCCTTGGCCCGGGGAGTTGGGGGACTAGGGGTGAGAAGAGGGCTACCATACTAAGCATAGGGTACAGGCCTGAGCTCTGCTTTCCAGTGACCCCAAAGAGATGTGGGAGCAGGGGCCTGCGCAGCGCAGCTGAGCCCGCTGCAGAGAGGTACACCGAGTCACGGCCACCCCATCCCCTGCGGGCCCCAACAAGACCCAAACCCAAACCCAGAACGGCCCACACGCCGCCAGGCTGGGCTGTCTCCTACCGCAGAGCCCTGGCCGCAGAGGCGGGTGAGGAAGAGAGGTGGTGCGGCAGTAACCCTTAGCTGCAGAAGGGGCTGCCGGGGATGAGGTCGGGGCGCCGGCAACAGTGGCGCGGAGCAGCAGACACCTAGCCGGTCCCTCCCCTCGCTCCCGCCGCTCCCCCTCCCAGCGCAGCGGCTCTGGCCTCAGATGATCCCGCTCCCCCCTCCCCCCAACCGCAGCCCCGCACAGTCGGGCGGGCGCACTCACCGACGGGGGGGAGCTGAGCACAGGGCAGCAGCCGCACCAGGGCCGGGGTGCCCGCAACGCCTGTTCCCGTTGGCTCTGCCCTTCTCCCCAATCAACAATCAAAAACAAACCCCACACTCACCCAAAAACCTTCCACCAGCCCCCTTTGGGACCAAGGCTGCCTGCCTGCCTCCCCCTCCTCCTTCCGAGATTTGGGGAAGGGGGGCAACTCTGCTTAGGGCTGAGCCCAGCCTGGGTTGCCGGCCAGCTCTGCGGATGAACCAGGCCCTGAGAGCCTTCAGCCCCTAGCCCACTCTTCTACCTCTCTGAAAGGACCCAGAATGGAGAAGAAAACCAAGCAGGCTTTAGGATATTCACGGGCTAAAAATGCCAGGAATTTCCTGGGAAACGCAGTTTCTTACGGGATTCATTAACACAGGTTCACTCATCAATTTTACCCCTCCCAGAAACTCCTGAGTGTCAAGGAGAGCCCCCACCTCTCAAAAAGTAAAACATTAAATGATCGCTGTTTTTTAGACAGACAGCTAGGTTACCGACCATTAGTTAACCAATGAGTCTTTGGACAGTGACAGCTAAAGGGGTTGTCTCTGGTCTCAGAAATCATTGATTTTTCTCTTCCTAGATTTGAGACATAATCTAGGGCCTATTTTCCTTTTCCCAGATATGTAGCGAATGCTCATAACTACCTCACTGCAGTCTGCAGTCCTAGCGGCTGTGGGGAAGCTAAGGCCTATCTCCAGAGGACCTCCTGTCAATGCCCCTACACTCTACCCATCATCTTCTACAGGGGGCTCAGAAGATACAGACCTCACAGCCCCATTCCTGACTTTCTCAAGCATGGACTGCTGCCTCCATCCTAAGAATATGCTTATCCCATCTATGGGTTCTATTCCCATTGAACATCCTGCTACCCCAAAGTAAGGAGACTTGCCTCCCTCGCTCTTAGCCCCGGAAACAGCTGAGCACATGGTTGCCCAAGCTTCCTGGGAAAGAGAGAGGTAAAAAGAGGACTAATGATCAAGAAACCCAGACCAGTCCAAGGCATAAGCCTTGTCAATACTTGAGCCTTCAAAGTCCGCTAATACTTCCCTTCACATCCTAGGCAAACCTGCCTGCTAAGTATTCATGGCTTCCTTTTTCTCTTAGCAAGGGCCCCATTCTATCCAGCATTAGTTACTTCAGCTCTGGACTGACGTTTGCTACTCCCGTTTAAGAGAGAAAAACAGGACAAAGCACCCTGGCTACTGGGGGTAGTCCTGTGAGCCAGCTCTAGAATCACCCACCTGTCCAGTGGTCCTCGAAATGACTCCCTAATGGAGAAGCCCACTAAGAGAGAGAAATCTAGGCTTTGGGCACCATAAAGAACTTTCCCTTAGTTTGGGGGGCATCCTTCAGTATTATATAGTCCCCTTTCAGTGCTGATATTTCTGCACTCCCTCTCCTGTCGGGAAGGGGACATAGGAACTGTTAGCGCACTTTGCGCCACACACACAAAACTGTGTGAAGAAGCGGAAGCTCTCACAGTAGCGATCAGGACCCTGGATAGACCCCAGCCCAAAACAGGGATGCAAGGACTAGGTGGCAGGGTCTCTGCACAGAACACTGCAGGGTATTACGGTCCCACTAGTAAGCTGAGGCTAGGATCTGATGAAGTCCGAGCTAGAAGAGTCGCTGTTCTTCCTCAAGGGTTTATCTTGCGCTGTACCAAGCCCTTGCCCCCGCAGGAGAGCTCAAAGCAGCAACAAGGCCAATGGGATTACGATGAGGGGGCACGAGCCCGCCAGTCCCGGCCATTCTTCTGTGCTAATGATCGCTTCCCCCAGGACAGAAAACTAAGGCTTTAAACTGCCAGCCTTCTTCGACCACCTTTGGAGTCTAAATTTCTTGCCCTGTCCCAAGCGATTATGTCCAGGGGTTCTGAAGCGGTTTTAGTTTGGGAATGTTCTCACTTTCTAAAAAAGTGTCACCAGGACAGAAGCAACTGATGAAGTTTCTAGACAAAACACAAATTAAATATCATTTGTATCCTTAAACTGGGAATTTTAAGCTCAAATCATCAAGCGACTGAAATCAGGATCTCTCCGCATAAATATGTACTTACTTATTTTCGCTAATTATTACATATGTATACAATTTCTGCTATTATAGACCAGCCTCTCACCTACTTTTTAAATGTATCTAAATAGCAAAAAGCAAACAAGAGCAATAATGCCTTTTTCAAAATAATTAAATGATAAATTGGATATTTAGTACATTTTTTCACTACTCAAACAAGAGTTAATTTCGGGATAAGCCTGTAAATCTGGGCTTTTGGTCAGCCTGGGAGGGGACTGATGAAAGGTAGCTGTCCTTAGGCTATAGAATACAGTAGCCTTAAAAAGGCAGTCTGAGAAGAATGAATATTGACTCAGAGAAAGTCTTAAAACAAAAAGTTTAGAACCTTAAACAGAATTTCAAAGTTAGATTTGCGCCCTAACATTGAAAATCCATTGGAAAATTTGTGGATTTAAAATGACTTCTAAAAAAATAAAGTAAAATGACTTCTAACCATTTGTTATCTACCTAAACAATATACTAAATTGGTAAATGAAAAGCCAGTTTTAGTGTCTAGCTGTTTGAATATGTAATTTTGAAACAAATAGTTGTAAAATTAAATTTACAATTTCAATACAATGTAGGAAAGACAAAGGGAAAACGAAATATATTAATGTGCAACAAAATATCCGTGGTAATGAAAAAATCATAAAAGATTCCCGTTCTCAAAGTTTGCTTACATTTTAAAAAATGATGTCTCTATATTTCCTGTGCTTTTACGAACACTACACACATTTTGAAGAGAAGAGATTGCTTTATTTTTAATCCCATTATCTGTCTTTAACAAACCCTTACCAACAAAAAATTGTTTGCAAGTGAAACAGACATTAGGCAGAACAAGAAGGAAAAAAGCCTCAATTTTCCTCAGCCTGAACTATGGGTGATTCTGAAATAACCTAATTCAGCTTTGGTTTTTAAAAGTAAAAATTAACACACATTTATAAAATAAACTTGGAGAGAAGGAATCTACTTCTGGGTAATAAATCCTTTTGATTATAGTTTCCAACAGAAACAATATGCTGATTAATATTTCACAAAATCACAGATTTCCAAAATAAAAGAGAACAAGAATATTAAAACTTATGTTTTCAAGTACTGCTTAGGTTAAATGCCTGTCTTAAACCAGACAATTATCCTCAATACCCAAATCATTAAAACTAACTGGAATGTTGTACTGCGAGTGTTCAAAGTGGAGGAATTACCCATTTCTCATGGCTATCTACCAGAAAAATTATGGTTAACTCTCAAGTAGATCTTAACATTTAATGACAACAACAAGGACTAATAGTAATAGTATTTCAACAATCATTTTTTAAAATGCATATCCCCTTTCTATAGCTCACCTGAACTTTAAAATTATGCCTCTTCAATGCTATTTTAATGTTTAGGATTAAAGATATGAATTAAACATTTAAAATCTGAAGAGAACAATCCACGTGATAGAATCCTCGCATTTCACAAAAGATTTTCATTTTAAGCATTTACAGAAGAGTTAAATGCACCACACATTCTAATTTCCACAAAAATTTTCAGAAAACCCGACATTTTATGTATCCCAAAGATCCAAACAGAACCAATGCAAATGTCAATAGCTCTCTCTCTTCCGGCTGC